CCTCTACAAAATAAATAGAAATTTCTTCTATAAGGGGTACATATAACGTATATCTTATGCCCTTGATAAGAATATGTCATGATACAACTCTAAATTCTATGGCTCTTATATGGAATCCTAAGAAGTGGCATAAGGCTATTTTGGTGAACCACTAGACGTGACTCAAATCTCAAGCAACACTCTTGTTTTTTTCAATTTCATGCAACTTAATTGCATATTTGAAAACATCAACATTAAAACAATCAAAGACACAATTAATCAATAATTTGCTAAAGCATCAAACCACCATTGTAATAAGCCATATTGCCAAATAAACTACATAAGATTTTGATCAACTATAGTATTCCAAATTAATATAAAGTAACACTATGGCTTAATTAAATACTTTAAACAGTCAATAAATTAATATATTATTATACTGGGAGGTAATATAAAATTTAAAAATAAGATAAAATATTATAAGAATTTTATTTGCTATAAAAAATAAAATAAAATAAAATAAAATAGAAAAAATAGAAAAAAAATGACAAAGATTAAAAGAATGAAGTAGTGAGAAAAGAGATTGTGGCTATAACTACAAATTTTAAATGGACCGCATCTTGTCACAACTTAAGGAATAGGATATTGTCTTGTAGTAATACAAGTATATGGAAAAAAATAAAAACATGGATGTTGTTACAGAAGAGCTTAGTAGGAAGATGTAGTAGAAAAACAAGGATAAATGATAGGAAGGTAATAAAAAGTTTAATCTTAATATTGTCTTTTAAAGAAAGAACTTCTATTTGCTTTTTAGAAGCACAAATGCCTCAAATCAAAGTAAATGAGATGAGTAATTGATATAGAAATATTTAGAAGGGAGTTACCAATAGGTTCAAGCAAAAAATATCTCAAATTACTAAATATTAATATCCAGAGAGGATTGATTGTCAACTAGAGTCAAAATCAAATCCCGAGGCACAAAACCTCATATCTATTGTAATTTCGAGGTTTTTTGGTAGATTAAAGAAAGGAAATTGAGAGCAAAATTGCAAAGAGAATATTAAGCATTGGTTTCATGTCAATCAAGTTAGAATTCAGTTTTTGGAAGATTTTCAATATTAGTGATATTTTTTGTTGGATTAGATTTTAAAAAATAAAATTATGTTTATAAAAATTGATGGTTTCTTGAATTTTATGGTATTTTTATAAGTAAATTTTGAGCAATATGTTGGTGTTTTAGTTATTAGTCTATGTACAAATTTTAGAATCAATCAAACAATTAGATTGAAGTGTGTGAAGATTTTTATATGTCAAAGTCTCAAAAATTGGAATTTAGATGATAGTGAGTAATTTAAAGATCTTTAGTAATGTGTTGATTGGATTGAAGTGAATTTTTTTTTTATATAGAGACTAGATTTGATTCTTCAAATTTTAAGTATATTTTGGAGGCAATTCAATAGTTTAAGAAGAAATTATTGGTACTAGAAGTTTGATATTCAAATTCGAATAAAAGGTTGGCTAACATCCAATCAAAATTTAGGTTTGATCTTCTATTTGGTAAGTTCGATCTTCTTCAAATTTTGTGTGCTTATTGCAAATTTAGTTGTTTAGAGGTGTATAAAATCTTAAATAAGATCAATAGTGTAATCAATATATATATTGAGGTTCTAAACTATCCTAGGTTAGGTTAATTTGATTAGGATTTGTTTTAGGATTTAGGAATTGGTTAGGATTAAATTAGATTTTGACTTAGGATTTAAGTAAGAACTACTAGGATTTTAATAAAGATTAAAATAAGATTTATTTTGAATTTATTTAACATATATTTTGGATTTTATTTTAATACTTCATTTGAATTTCTTTAGAATTTCTTCATGCTTCTTTCATAATTTTTTTGAGGTTTCTTTGGATATGATTGAAGCTTGATTAACATTATTAAGGTTTAATTGGAATTATTTAGGATTCAATTAGAATTAGAATCATGTTGTTGAAATACTCTTATACGTTCACAAGTAGGTGCTCAGTGCATTCTTAAGCAAGGCTTCATGTAATATGACATAAGTGGTGAATTTAATGTGAAAGCTTGAAGTAGGTGGTAGTGAAGTTTAATTATTTTTATTACTATTAAATAGAGAATAAGAGCAAGAATTTTGAAGAGCTATGGTTAGAGCCTCAAGAGGAGCTTCTAGTAGAATTTCTTCTAAAGGACAAAGTATGTATATGAATCCAACCATTACAAGTATGTTTCAAGCTTTTTCATTATCAATGTAGAAAAATCAAAGCAACGATTGCAAGAAAGCTTTGGCAACCAAAGCCATACAAGCAGTGATCAATCAAAGTGACAAATTAAATGGAAGAAATATTTCAAAGTACTTAAGATGTTATGTACAAGAAATGGAACTAAATTGAGTTTTTGAGAAGAAGATGATTAAACTATTTGGACTTGCTAAGATACTAGAAACAAAAGAACATGTTACATCAATTATGAAGCATTATAGAAATTAATGGACAAACTTTTGACATGCATTAAAAGATGAATATTTATTTGAGGATTATTGAAGTTTTCCATTATTAAATTTATTTACCTCATACATTTTAATTTAATTAACTACCTCATAAAACTCTTTTAATTAATTGCCACATACTATTTAATACAAATCTTGCGTTTATTTCGAAATTTGCAAGCCAAGAAATCATTATTATAATCTGATTTTCTCCACCATGTGTGAAATTTAATATTCTTCTTGACATCTTAAAATGTTAGTACATAAAATTTGAAATGCGATTCTTTCTACATTTGTCAATTGTGAGTTACCTTCAGTAAATAGCCAAAAAGATATTACAGACAATTTCTTCACAACATGCAGAGCTTGACTTCACCATTGATCTAGCCACCACTGCACTGAAGAACACTGATCTCAGAGAATTCAGCACCGAGTGCACACAAATGGTTGCTGATCCAAGGACGTGCCCTCGGGATCCTCGGACATGCACAGCGTCTGAGTGTTCATTAGTCGGGTGAGTCTAGGTCCTAACTATCAATACCGAAACTTCAATGCACTAATCAGTTGTTCATGTTATACAAACATGCAGCTTTGACATATCAAAGCAACCCACTTCACGACAAGACAACCTAGCAGTCAAGCTGCCGACAAAGTAGTCTGGAGTGTAAACGTGTGGCAGTCACAAGAGTACTGCCATTGTGAGGGCCGCGAGTTGAATGGATCTAATCCAATTAGTAATATCTTTCATCAGTTCAAACTCTTGTAGAATGTTCCTCCATTCGAGTTCCCGATGGAATTTGGCCTGCCTGCTCCTGACAGCGTAGATGTAGAAGGTGTAGTCGCCCTTTCGGACCTTCTCACGCCGGAACTCAAAGGACTGGGCCTGGGCTATGCGGTTGCCGAAATCAAAATTTCTCATACACTCGGGCCATAACTTCTCCGCAATCTGTGCATCTTGTTCAGTGTTGAATAGGAAAATGACCTGCTTCTCCCTGTTGGTGGCCCGTCCGAGGGTTATTGTCGAAGCAATAGCTTGACCAACAGTGGAACTTGTGGTCTGGCTGTATACCATCACTTTTACATCTGAATCGGTGACTGGGATGTACTCCCTTCGCAGGTTGTAAATGCGCTGAAAAACTTGGCAACCAAAGTCCAGCTTGGTCACGGCGTTTCCGCTCTCCCACTTCGGTTCCTTGCTCCACTGCTCCAAGGCGTGTGACTCGCCAACAGTTCTTCTGGCGCTGGCAATACTGAAGTGTGCCCTGTGCAGTAGATGCTTCGGTTTATTATTAGTTATCAGCGACATCAGGGTATAGGGAGCCACCCAGTCATGAAATAGTGCCTTGAATCCGCTGTCTCGGAGACATATCGATTGATGTAGCCTTTGCTGAGGAGGTCGCCGTTGTTGAGGAAAAGGCGCGGCGTCCACTCGCATTGCCCCTCTCCCAAGTACTCTTTCCGAATTAAGATGAGCCGCTTTCGAGTGGTACAATCGAACTCGATTACAAGCGAATGTATCGCAAGAAGCATAGCCTTACAGATCTTCTCCACCTGGCGAACACTTTTGTTACTGATGATGTCCAATGAGGCGAAGGGCGGGTTGAATAAGAAGGTCTCCACTGGCCGGTTGTTCATCGCCAACACCTTGCCCACCAGGATTCCAAAAGCTGCACCCAAGGAGTGCCCTGTGATCGAAACATTTTCGCAGCCGTACTTCTCCACAACCTTGTCCGACACCTTCTGCAGATGCTCGTATCGTTTGTCACCATCCAGATTCTGTCCAATCACCCTTACGTCCGATATGAGGTCATTAATGTCGGTAAATTTCGTTCCTCTTACAGCGATCACGACTTGAGGCGCTCTGGTGTATTTACAATACGGGCGTTTCTCGAAGACCGCGTACCACAACTGGGGTTGCATGATGCCTAGTGATTCCCAACTCATCTTGGTGTACCCAACTTCCTCCCACATCCATTTCACCTCGTCCTCCCTTCCCGAGTGTGCACAAAGTTTATAGACAGCTTCCACTAATTGGGCCATTACCTTTGGAATTTCAACGGTCACCTCATGACAAGCATCACGATCGCTGATCAGTAAAGGCCACACAAATTCATCAGAACATCAAACAGAAGAGTGCATCTTCCCTTCAGAAGCCTAATCACTTCTGCCCTTGTTCAACAAGCTTATAACAATATCGGCTTCACAGTACACATCTACAGTTGTATCGCAATCAAGTTCTTTAGCACTGCGAATCAGGGTTGCTTACCTGTGACTCCCCAAGATTTGGATATTGTACAAAATATCTTTAACTGCACGCACGGCCATCTTGCTCACGAGTCTGAGTCACAACCTCAAATGTCCTGGTATTTGATCAGTCAAGCTTGAAAACCCAACCAAGAATTCAGGGGGGATGGGACTGCAGTGCATAGGACGATATCTTTGGCTCATCCAAGGTGGACGACCATCGCAACAAAAGCACCAACTGATAAGCAGCATATTATGTGGTTTCAGAGGCAGGACCCACACACCTTGCGTTCTGAAAAAAGTCGGTAAGACCAAACAGATATACAGCGACAGAACAAACTTGTCGAGCAGCTATTGCAATGAGCACTCCTGGCGATCGATGCATTAGACATCAAACCTCCATCATTCGGATTGCTGTTCCCTCGCTGGCACCACCTTTGCCTGCATTGAGGGCATCACCGCCGGAATTCTGTATGCAGCAGTCCAGTTTCCGCTCTTAGGAAGTCAACGCGGAATCAACGTGTGATATACACATAGGGCAGTGTAAAATGATGTGAAAGGATTGAATGGATAGATCCTAAATTGGAGGTTTTGTTGCAGATTCTGTAGGGCTTTCTGCAGGTTGACGATTTCTTCGACTTATTGGAGGTTTTGTTGCAGATTCTGTAGGGCTTTCTGCAGGTTGACGATTTCTTCGACTTATTGGAGGTTTTGTTGCAGATTCTGTAGGGCTTTCTGCATGTTGACGATTTCTTCGACTTATAGGAAAGTTTCCTTGTTATATAGATATGAATACTAGTATTTAATATTTTTAAAATTTTTAATCATATTTATTAGAAGTTGTATGCACTATTTGTAATAAAAATAATTTTTTTAGCAATACCACAAAATTGCTAAATTATATCAAAAAAAAATTAGGAATTACAGTAAAATTAGTTTTTGATATTTATTGTTTTACCTTTAGTAATAGTGTAAAAAATGACCTTAATGTAAATATGGACTTTAATTTTTTTTCTTTTAAAAGTTGACTTAGAAATGAAAATAAAATTAGACAAATTATAAGAAATTGTATAGATCACAAGTAAAATCCCAAATTCAGTGATTGAATTTGCCACAATATATAATTCGGTCATATTTTTTTGTATTTAGCAATGTCATATATTGACCAATATCTTTTTGCAATAGTGGTGAGCAGATCAATATCAACCAATATGTGTAACTTGTATGCTGATTGCTGCTAAATAAAAAAAAAAAAAAAAAAAAAAAAAAAAATGCTTTCTTTAGGTAGATGAGTTTTTTTATATTAAAAAGATTTCATATTCTTGAAAAGATGTGTTAGAAATAGAAAGAAGAGACAATGATAATTACAACTTATAACAAGAGTTAAGAGATGTTGCTTGAATTATAAATTTACCAAATTTATGTAATAATTACCAAATTCTTGTAATAATTATTTGATCATATTCCAATAGATTAAAAGCAACTTTCTATATAACTTCTTAAAGAATTGTAAAATTCACTTTTTTAAATAGACCTATCAAAAAAATTAGTATATAACACTATTTATGCATTTCAACTCATATGTATGAATTTTAAGCTTATTTATACATATATAAAGCCAACCAAGTGAAGCCATTTAATTTTAATTAATAAAAATATTAAAAAATTATCATCTTTCATATTTATAAATTTGAACTATATAAAAACTAAATATTTAAAAAGGCTTTTAGAATGCTTTAAAAATTTATAATTTAAATACTCGAGTTTTGTTGAAAAAAAAGAATAAAAAAAATTAGCATTAAAAATATATATAATAATATTAATCCTAATTATAGTATTTTATATTAAATATATCTAAATATATATTATAAATAATGTCTACAATAAAATATTAAGTTTGGTATGAATTGCAACTTTTTTTTGTAATTATAATTTTCATTAAAAATTTATAAAAAGAATTAAGTTTATTTTAAATGTATTAATTTAAATCTTTAATTTTTTATTTAATATAAAATTAATATGAAATTAAATAATTGAGATATTAAAATATTTATTAATATTTTATTTAATTTTATTAAATTTTGAATTTTATTTTATTTTTATTGTTTGCAAAAAATATATAATAAACAATAATAGTAAAGGAAATTTTTGTATAGGAAGAATATAAGCATCAATATTATTAAGAGATTTGATGGAAGAAGAATTAAGGTGGATATAAAATATTATAAAAAATTATTGAACTAATGCATTCTTGTAAGATAGAAATGAAGAGGAATGTAGTTAAAATAATTCATATTGTGAAAGATGTAAATGGAGAGAAATACATATATGTTTGTTTATATATGCCACAAATGTATATAAATTATCTAAATAAAAAGTATTAGATTGTAGATAAATATATGTAGTTTTGATAAAAATTTATAGAGAAGCTTTTCAGATATGGATTTGACTTTATATATACATTTTCCATTCATTCATAGATTGAAAATTAGGCCAACAAGTGGGCTATATGTAGCACATGTTAGTAACTTGTGAGACAAGTTTGCTATGGAACAAACATATAGAAAACTTGTCTTATAAGTTAGATATGTATAATGCAAGTTAGACACATATCACAGGTCCTATAAAATATCACCACATAATTTCTAGTTAGATAAGAAATGTAGAAAAAAGAGTGAAGTCTTCTTCATTCTTGTCAATGCGTTACTAGATCTTAGTCTTGTCTTAAGTATTTCTATTTTTTCTTGTCTCTAGCAATAGCCATTTTAGTTTAATATTATACCATCTTTGAGTAATTATCTAGTCCTTTTTAGTAACAAAATAGTATATTAAATTTTTGATCATTTGAGATTTATGTATTGAAAATTTGATAAGAGTTCTAATTCATTGTTATTTTTTATTTTAGAAGCGAGTAGATTACTTTATTTTTTTTGGTGTACTTTAAAAATTATAGACTATCTACTTTTAAAATTAATATTTTTTTCTAATATTAATTTTTTTAATAAAAAAATAAATTATATATATTTGTAAAAAAAACATAATATTAGAGGTTGAAAATTATCTTCCTTTAATTTATCTTGTGGATTTATTAAAATTATATATTATAGAGATAGAAGGAAAAAAATTAGATAATATAATTGAAAAAAGTGACAATAGATTTATAACTATATCAGATCTTTATTAGCTTATCAATATTCTTAAATTAGAAAATTTATATATTACTAAATCAACCATATTAGTATTAATCATATGCTTATAAAAGAAGTCAAAAATAGAATTCAAAGTCTATACAAAAAAATTCTATAATTGAAAGAAGTAAGTATATCAAGGTCATAATTGAATTTAAAAAGTTTTGTTATTATAAATATGAAGGAGGCAAGGATAAGTATGTCAAAAAGCTTTGATGGAATAATGTTAAAATTTTAAGAACTTCTATAATAATTGAAGCTATATTTAAGGTTGTATTCTTTTCAATATTCTGATGGATATATTTAAGTTGAATTAATAGGGGCATTTTTATCTAAAGTTTTTCTCTCTTAATTTATATCTTTGATGAAAAAAGATTCACTACTCATCTATGATTTAAATTCATTATTAGAAGTGTTTATGGCAACATTTAAAAAAAGTGATTGAAAACAATAGTAAAGATCAAACTCATATCTTTATAATAAGAATCAACTTCAACTACCATATGTATTGGTGAAATTCAAAATCTTGCTTGCAACATAGATTGGAATGACAAAGTCCTTATCAATCAATTTTGATATAGATTGAAAGATAATGTCAAAGATTTATTATTAACAATGTTGAGATTATATTCATTAAAATAATTTATTGCTCAAGCCATTGCATGCAAAAAATAAACTTTTTGATAGATGCTTAGAACAAAGATTTAGATGAAAAAATATAAAGAAAATTATAAAGAAAATTCTTAAATTCATAATAACTTATTTATCAAAACCAAAATCTATATAAACTAATATGATATACTTTAAACTTCTAACTTTGCAAAAAAAGATTTAACATCATCAAAAAGAATTATATTTATATTGTGGAGAAGCTAAATATACTATCCAATATTATCTAAAAAAGTAATACAATCTCAAAATGTGTTGAAAAATGAGTTTGTCCAACTACAATAGGGATCATGCAACTAGAATGTTGTGCAAAACTTAATAAAGATCTTATTTTTTTTTCAAATCCTTCAACTTACTTTATAATAGATGGTTTTTTAGGACCAAAAAATTATAAAGCCTATATCTTATTAAATTTAAAAGACTCAATTTGATTTATAGATGAAGACTTTGTTAAACAACATAAATTATCTTAAGGCAAAAAAAATAAGTTTATACTTATAGAAATTATAGATGTATATTTATTGTCTTTTGAAAATATTATCCATAAAATTATTTTCTAAATATATCAATTGATCATTACAATTCCTTGATATTACAATTATTTATTTTTTTGTTAGTTGCAAGAGCTTTTATGCATGTTGAAAAAGAAGGATCACCTTTAGTTATTTATATTACATTCATTTTTATCGTAGAAAGCTTCAAGTGCCAATACAAGCTAGGATCAAAATTATCAAGATGATTTTTAGAAGAAAAATATAAAAATTCTTCCAAAGCATTTTTCCAATAATTCTTTTATTGATCTTCAAGAATAAACTCAACTACCATTTTGACCAATTTATAACTTCATCACTAAAAAAATCAATTACATTAAAGTAGAGTATTGATAAAAATATGGCTAAGAATAATAATTATTATTCAAAATCTACAAAAAAAATACATATTTTATGTATAAAGAAAAAAAATCACTTTGAATATATATAGATATCAAAGGTAAGAATTTTTTTAAAAAAAAAATCCTCAATATACTCTTGTATTACTCAAAAGAATTAAAAAGTCACTCAAAGTTGATATAGTATTAAACTAAAATGGCTATTACCAAAGACAAAAAGACTAGAGAGTCTTCAAACAAGACTAAGGACTAGAAGGCTTCACTCTTGCCTCCATATGTACTCTTAACTAGGAATTACATGACAGTGTCTTATTATCAAGGACATGAATTCCAAAGAAAGATAATCTCAATACACTCTTGTGTCACTTGAAAATACTTAAAAATCACTCAAAGATGATAATATATTGAACTGGAATGGCTATTATCAAAGACTAGAAAACATGACGACTCTTGAGACTAGAGTGGAAATAAAAAAAAGAGTTGACAAGAGTGAAAAAGGCTTCACTCTTGTCTCTATATATACTATCTAACTAGAGGCTACGTGGCAGCGTTCTATATCAATATGTGTTGACTTTGTAGGACACTTGCCTTGACTTACAAGGCAAGTTTTTCTACGTGTGGGCCACATAGTAAGCTTGGTCTTCAAACTAACAACATGTATGGCACATGGCCAACTTGTTGACCACGTTTTTGATCCAAAAAGTCAATTAAAGACACCTATGAAGTCAAAGCAGCGTCTATGAAGCTTCTAAGATACTTCGACACTAAATACTATAGAATTAACTTACTTTTATCTACTTTTACTTACTTCTACTTATTTATATATGTAATTTCTAGCTTACATGAGTATGTCCGTGACATTACTCCTTCTTCTAGGGACGAGTTCTACGAGGAGCGGTCATCATATGTTGAGAAAATCTATGATGCGACAAATTGTATTTGCCACATACTCTGATC